AACACGTAACCATTCCTCTCGAACAAGTCTGTGAAGAGCTTCCGCAGATAGTCGTAGTCGGGCTTCTCGAAGAAATCCAGCCGCCGCACATAGCGCAAGTACGTGGCCATCTCCTCTGCGGGGACAGAGCGGGCTCAGCTGGGGCAGGGGGACAAGATGCCAGGCCAGCAGGCTCTGGGGCCAGGCTGGGGCCAGGGCCAGGCCATGCGGGGTGCCCTCACCTGGGAAGTTCTCACAGAGCACCTCCACCGGAGTAGCTCTTTTGGTGTCGCCGATCTTCTGATACCTCTCCTTTAGCGTGTCAGCCTGGCAGAGACAAGGAGCAGGTCAGCGTGAGGGCCAGGCACGTCCCCGGGAGCGGGGAAGGCACTGGGTGCTGTCAGACCACGAAGAGTTTCTTGGTCCCCCTTTTCCAGGTAACAGCGAGAGCTCATTCCCAGGGAATCCCCTCACCCAGGGCAGGTCTGGAAGAGCGCGGTTCCAGGACAGCTACTGCGAGAGCAGCTGGGATATGCACAAAGCAGGAGGGACGCGGAGAGGGGGACACCTACAGCCGCTCGGCACAGCAAGGGGCTGGCACAGAGCTCGGAACAACAGCCCCTGCATCTGTTGGGGTGCCAAGCCTCCAACACCCTGTGGGCCAAACCTTTCCCCATCCCACACCCTGATGCTGCTCATGCCAGGGCAGAGCCAGACCCCCAGGGCGGCCATGCCCAGGGACAGCAGGAGCTGGCAGTTACCTTGAGGCCTTGCCAAGGGAGGCTCCCGCGGAGGAAGTACATAAACATGTGCCCTAATGCTTCCAGGTCGTCCCTGCGGCTTTGTTCTGCATGGAGAAAAAAAAGAGACATGGGCACATTCCCACTACAGCCACCTTCCCTGTCCCTGCCAGACCCTGCCAACCCAGACCCCAGCACCCCACGTCCCCTGCCAACATCCGAGGCTGAAGAGCAGGAGAGGCAGTTTGTCCCCAGCTCCACCGCTGGCAGGGGGGGAGCTTGCACCCTGAAGTCCCCTTCCCTCTCCCTTTCAACTGAGAGGCAGGGCTGGCCGCACAGTGTGCACACACACCTTTCCCGAGGTGGGTGTTGATGCTCATGTAGCGTGCTGTCCCTGTCAGGCTCTTGTGCTCTCGGTAGGGGATGTGTTTTTTGGTCTCAGGGTCAATATACTCTTTGGCCAGGCCAAAATCGATGATGTGGATGGTGTGCTGCCGCTTGCTGCCCGGCCGCCCCACCAGGAAGTTCTCTGGCTTGACATCTCTGTAGATTAGGCTTTTGGTGTGGACGTACTCCATCCGTGTGATCTGGGGGCAGAAGGAGATGTCGGTACCACGGCAGAGACACGCTGTGTGTCCCGCACACATCCCTCCACCCTCCTCCCCTGGACCCAACTCTGCTCCGATTGCCGTGCCCCCAGCCAGTGACCCTGCTCCCCTCAGCCCGTATGTCACCCTGGGTTGAAGGGACAGGCACAACAGGTCCTCCAGCCCGGGGAGACAACCTCAGTCCGGCTGCATCTCGGACACACAGCAAGAGACACGGCTGTGCTCGGAGAGGGGCTGCGTGGGGGTGAGGGAGAGCCCTCCTACATCAAGGAGAAGGTGAGGTATGGAGGGAGGTGGTCTGGGATGCGTGGTCTGCCGGGTGCTGGCTTGCCCCTCCTTCCCCTCCCCTTCCCTGTGGGGTCCCCACACAGCCTGACGGCCGTGCCCACACATCCCCTGCTCCCCCGGGGCAGTCTGCGGCCAGGCGGGCCGGGGTGAGCCAGGCAGAGCCACAGGCGAGGCGGAGGTGCTGTGCTCACCAGCTGGATTGCGATCATCAGGACGGTCTTGAGCGTGAAGGTCCGGTCACACAGATCAAAGAGATCTTCTAGGCTGGGTCCTAGCAGCTCCAACACCATGGCGTTGTACTTCCCGCAGGGGCCAAAGTAGTAAACCTGAGGAATTCCTTCTGCAAGAGAGGGAGCAGGGGCTGTCAGGGGTTGCAACAGGGCGGAGCAGCACACAGCCATGCTGTCACGGCCACGCCACTGCTGGAGCCGAGACGGGGGGCTGCAGCTGGGGGGATGTCTCTGCACTGCCCTCCCTCCACTCTGCAGCCAGCCTGGCTCTGCTCTCGGCAAGAGGGCGAAGGAGGCAGCTCCATCTGCATCCCTGACTGCTGCGGGGGAGGTGGGGGGAAAGAACTAAATAAAAAGGGATCAAAGATTAGACGTGGCTCTGTGTAAAATCGGCCTCTCCCAGCCGAGCAGATGGGCAGCAGTCGCTCATGGCAGGGAGTGAATTTGCAGAGTCACATTTATAGGAAGCTCCCCTTTCCTAGCTGGCTCCCGCGGCAGCGCAGCCTGGCCCCGTACCTGCATTGCCGAGCTGTTTGTAGAACCGATACTCCAGGTGCAGCTGGGGGGCCCGGGATTTTATGGGTTCCTTGGAGAAGAGAAGGAGAACGGTTAAGGCTGTTGCAGTGAGCAGGATGTTAGGGGAGGTCTGGGTGTCCCCTTCACAATGCTGGCAGCAGCTGGACTGAGAGGATTTGGGGTTGAGAAAAACTGGTATGAAATAGAGATGAAGCCTCCGGGGACGCTGAGAGAAAACCCGCCCACATGGGAGCCAGATCCACCCCGTCCAGAGAGATCTGGGTGCTGGTGTAGACATTAATGGGAGCAGGTATCAGCGGGGACCACCCTGCCCCGTCCAGAGAGATCTGGGTGCTGGTGTAGACATTAATGGGAGCAGGTATCAGCGGGGACCACCCTGTCCCCGAGGTCTCTCTGCTGCAGGCACCGGCTGAGTGCAGCGCAGGCCGCAGTGAGGTCATGGAGAAGAGAAGACCCAGCTCCTCTCTCCCGGGGCCCAGATCACCCCACCTGCGATGACGTGTGTTGCTTTGCCTGCCCTCAATTCCTAGCAGCGAGCACAGCTCCCGGCGCAGCCACCCATCCATCACCTATCGCAACCCGCTCGGCTGGACCCGCTCCAACAGCCTGGGGACGGGGAGCAATCTCCTTCCCAGGTGGCCTGAACATCACTGCCCTGACCACAGAGGGACTCACCAATTTGATAGCTACGTATTCGTTCGTGTAGAGGTTCTTTCCTGCAGGGAGAGACATGAAAAAGGCAATTGAAAGCAAGTGAGCCTTTGCATTAACCCCACTTTACACCCGCCGTGGTCCCCTGAGGGCTCCTGGGCTGCAGAACATCCCAAACTGGTTCGGTGGCTCCCGAAACACGTAAACAGACCTGGAGGCATGAGCGGGAGCAAGAACCCACTGTGGGGAGTTGCAACACGCCAGCTAATTACGCCCAGATGGGGTAGGTGGATTCCTCTGGGATGGACAGGCTGCTGGGGGGTTGGAGCCGAGTCTGCTGGGAGGGGCAGCGTCCCAGTCCAGGCCTGGAGGGATGTGACTGGCAAAGGCAGACACAAGGCTGGGACTTGCTGTTTCTCTCAGCCACATCCCTGCATGGAGAGGGGCTGCCCTGCTCTGGGAGAGCTGTCAGAATTGGGGGATGCTGCTTTGCGAGCAGCAGGACCATGCAGAGGGTGGCAGGGAGGAAGGACCCCCAAGAACACTGGGGCAGCCTGCAGCACTGGAGCCAGCAGTGGTCTGAAGACACCACAGGTAGGTGGAAATCCCTTCCCCAGGGCTGGGGTCACTCCTGGGGATGGCAGATGTGACCGTGCAAGCACAGACATGCTCAACCTCATCCTCTGGGATGCTCCCACCCACCCGAGGGGGCGGGGGAAGCCAAGGAGCAGACCCACAGCAGGGCCCAGCTGCATGAGAAGCTGAAGGCACCGATGGGCTGCGGGGAGGGCTGGACGACTGCCTCCAAGTGCCCAGGAGAGCTGAAAGGGCAGCCATGCCACCCCAACACCCTGTAAACAACTTCCTAGAGAGCTCAGCACCTTCACGGGAGTTTTCACACCCATAACTACAGACAGGTTGAACTAACGGTGTCTGCACATTGCCCTGCTCACCCCAGAGAGCCAGGAGGGGCTGAGGAAGGCGTTACACCCGGGAAGCGTCAGTACTACCTCTGCCCCAGGTCCATAAAGGCAAAGATTAAAGAGGTTTGCAAAAATATCCGAGTGCCCTTTTTGCCTGAGCCCTCCAGGACACCGGGGAGATGGGAGTTAATCGCAGTAGGTCCCCTTCCACGGCACAGGGAGCCAGCAGACACGCGATCCTGCTGCCTGGCATGTGCGTATCTGATGGAGCTGCATCTGTCTCCTCGGATTTTCTCCAAGCAATTTGCTCAGGGAACAAGTTCCTCCTGGCATAAGATTTCATCTGCTCCGACTGCTGCTCTCCACCTGAAGCAGCAATAAATCCTCGTCGGGTGACATCAGAGCCAGCTGCTGAGCGCCAGAGTCGGCGGCAGGATTACGGGAAGAGGGATGAATGGGAGATATTAATGGAGCGGCTCCTCCCAGGGATGGCTCTGCAGCCAAGGAGGGGCTCAGTCCTGCTCCCTCGCTGACCCTCTCCCATCCCAGGGGACCTCTGCCAAGCCACTGTGTCTCCTGCCTCTGCAAAACCAAATCCCTTCACGGCAATTAGGAAGTAAGTGATTAGGGAGGGAGAAACGTCTGGCTAACACGAGCGTGTATGCCAGACCCATGGTTTCTGGCCCATCACAGACCAACACTTCCCAGGGAGGAGGTGGGACATCCTCCAGACACATGCACGGCTCCAGAGAGCTCAAGAAAAGCCTCAGTTTGTTGGGAACTTGATTGGGGCAGGGAAGGACTGAAATCCCGACGGACCCCAGTGCAGCCCCCTCGCCCCCACTGTGAGCAGTCACCTCCCAACGACTCAACGGGGAGAGAAGGCAGCAATGGGGCAGGGAGGAGAGGTGTGGGCAGGCAGCTTATCTTCCACACACCAGGACCTCCGTGTTTTGCAAACAAGGGAGAGCAAAACAGCCCCGTGCGCTGGCCGGGATGAGGGATCAGGCATGGCCCTGCCTGCCACAAGGGCACAGGGCCCCCACGTGCTCCCCGGCCAAGGTGGGCTCTGGCCTCAGGGCTGTACAGTTCAGTCCCATCCCTCCCAAAAAAAAAGAAAATCACTGCTGCCTGCAGGGCAGTAACATGCAACCAGAAAACTCACAGCTGGTTTTCCCCTGAGGTTAGGCTGGGTCTGAAGAGGAAAAAAAAAACCAAACCCACACAGCAGGATTCCTGCCACCCTGCCAGGGGGGCACTGCAAAACCGGCCCAGCACAGCAGGGAGGGAGACGGGAAGGAGGTAGGAGCATCCCCAGCACGGGCCTGGAGAGGTCCAGCCCCGTCCCTGTTACGTGGCATCTGTCCTGTTCCCACCATGGCTTGCTGGCACAGAAAGCTACCCACAAAAACACTCTGGGAGCTGGCAGCCCTCTTCCGGCCCAAGAAATGAGTCCAGATAATTTGATACCCCCGTGGTTCATCCCTTCCTGTAATGCTCGGAGGGCTTGGACAAAGCTGCTAGAAAAAATGGGGATGCAAAGAGAGCACGGACCATTGCTGCTGTCTAACCACCACCACCTTCTTCCCCTTCCGTGATTAAAAAAAGGTGCAAAGAGCAGAACCAGTCTATCGTGAGGAAAAAAGAAGCAACAGGAAAGAAAAAGTGAAAGAGCAAGGAGGCAGGGCTGGGGGGCCTTCCCTGGCAGGGCCCGGCCCACACCGGGGAACGTCCCGCTCCAGCTCCCAGAGCAGCTCCCGCAGCCGCCCCCACGCCGCCCACTCTGCCCAGCGCTCACTAACGATGATAACTTTTAACACCTAAAATGTGTTGGAGTCCACAGACTGCCCCAGGGGAGGACTCAAGCAGGCAGCACTGCAGGATTCACAGAAGAAAAGGTGCTTTTGAAAGAAAAAAAGAAAAGAAAAAAAAAAGAGAGAAAAGCAAGACGGGCGGCAGAAAGCAAGCACTGGCGTTTGCAGGGAGGCCTTTGCCCGGCTCATTGCTGGCGGCGCCTCCGAATCCGGCTGCCAGCACCTGCAAGACACAGCCTGTCCGGTCAGAGCCCAGCCAAAGCCACCCAGAGCCACCCACCAGAGGCAGTGGCCAGACCCGGGGGTCTGTATCACATTTAAAAGCCGGACGTGGCTTTCTCTTAACCCTGTGCTAACACCCAAATCATCCCCCCCGAAGGCGGATTTGGCAGCGGTGGGGTCCGGCACCTGCTCCTGCACATCACGGCGGCCCGAGGAAGCGCTGGGCTCTGTGCCGGGCTCCCAGCGGGGTCCCCATCCGAGGGGCTACCCCTGTGCCAACCCCTCCGCCTGGCACTGCCCCTCGGTCACGGCATGGCGCGGGGCGCAGCTCCGCACTGACGGCGCTGGGAGCCTCTGTGCGCTGTGGCCCTGAGTCACACCTCGGCCCCAGGACCAGCAATTTGGCTTCTCTGGTCCCCAGGTGATGGAGTCGAGGAGCGCGGGAGAAGGCAGCCGGGCACCGGCCCAGCACCGCAGCCCCAGCAACACAAGCTGCATCAGCCCAAGCAATGTCAGTTCCTTGGAGCATGGGATTATAATACCATCGGGGGAGGGAAAAAAAAAAAAGTTATTTTAGAGTCTGACCTTCCTCTAGAGGAGGTTCTGAAAGACCAAGAGGAAAAACAAGTGTGAGCCATTAGCAAGGGAGGCAAGAGGAGCAGTTAGCAGGCAGTGCGTGGGCTCTTCTCTCCCACAGCCTACTCCGAAGACACCCAGCGAGCCATCACGGTGGCTCTGCGGCTCCGACCTGCCAGCCACGGTGGCCGAGCCCTTCGCTGTACGTGCATGTGTACAGAGGTCTCTGCGGAGCTGAAGACAAGGGTGGCACTTGCAGTGTGCCCGCATTTTCTGAAGGTACCTTTTGTGGCCCCGGAGAAGTAATCCCAGGAGGCTGCAGGCCAGGGGCAAGAGCCACAGCTCAAGAGAGCTTGGGAATGTCCCCAGCACTCACACATGACCATTCAGCTGGGACACAGCCCCAGCTCAGCTGTAGTAGTGACCTGCTGCTGGCTCATAAACCGCACAAGGATCCACCCCCTTCGTTTTCTTCTCTCCAAAATGCTGGGTTTACTTTTGAAAAATAAGTTCATTTCAATTTTAACCTCGAAAGGAAACAGCCGCTGTGTTTCCAAGCTGCACGGGGCTGGGGGAGAGGGGTGAGCACAGTAAAGCTGCACAAAAGCACGTTTGCAGAAGTTTTCTGTTCTTCCTGAAATAAAGAGCAGCTTCTGCCGGGTCCCTGCCCGGAGCAGAGGCCTTAGGCCAGGCCCAGGAGGCGGGGGGGGTCAGGGAGCCCCTGCCCAGGCAGCATGGCAGGGCACACAGCAGCTCCTGGCTCCAAAGCGTGGCTCTGAGCCCAGCACCAGGCAGAGCTCAGGGAAGGGGGCTTCCATACGACCTAGGTGCTTTGGGCTCATTTTTCACCTTTCTGGTTGATGTCTGGGTCTTCCTCCTCTTCCCCTATCCCAGCCCACCCCAAAGCACCACCAAAGAGGTGCTAAGAGGGCCCTGCTCCAACAACAAACCCTTGCTGGGAGCAACACGTGCTGGCCTTGCTCCTGGGGGCACAGGGAGCTGGCAGAGGCAGCGGGCTGCAGGCTCCCACCGCTCGCCTGTAGCTTGGTGCCAGGCTACACGAGCCACCAGCCACGCTCCAGTCACCCCCACTGCCACCAGCTTCTTCCTGCCTTGTGTTTCAGAGGGCAGCATCCAGCCCTGGCATGGAGGAAGCTGGCTGCAGGCAGCAGTGGGGCAGGGGGGAGCTGGGGGGGCTGCAGGCAGCGGGTGCTGCCCAGGGCTGCCTTCAGAAAGCCCCAGGAGGAGCTGGGCTGGTGCTCATCCACAACTGCAGGAGGGCAGGAGGAGGAACAAGCACTTTGGATGTGCTGGCTGGGGCACAGTGCCCTGCCCAGCCCAGGGTGAAGCACCAGGTGGGGTGACCAGGAGGTAGCAGGACCTGCCTGACCTAAATCTGCCCCTTGCTAACCCCTACACGGCTCCCCCCAGACCCCATGCTCTCCCTGGGGCAGCTGCCCTGCTCCAGCTCCCACCCCAGCTCTCCAGTCATGCTGGTACAGCAAGGAAGGGGCCAGCAGCACCGCCTAACTGGGATGGGGACTGGCACTGTGCTGGTGTATCACCCAGGATGCCAAGGCCAGCATCAACAGGGAGGGGCAGGATCCAAGCACGGCTCTGGCAGCCAGGAACTCCTGCCCAAGTCATTCCCCTTCTGGCTTCCCACAAATGCCTTATGCCAGTTTTTTTTAAATTTTATTTTTAAACAAATCACTTTTGATTTTTTGGAAATCTCTTTACCTGGGAGGACACTTTGTCTCCATCTGGGGCAGCTGAGCTGAGGCACCCAGAAGGACAAATCGGCACTTGCCTCTCAGTGAAATTGGGCAAAGTGTTACCTCTTTCAGGGAGACACCTTCATCCTCCTCCATCCCCCACCACTGGGAGCTGGAGGAGTCACCTCCTAGCATGTTTCTGCAAGATCTCCTGGGTTTTTTTATGAAAGGAAAAAGTCCAAGAAGATTTGGGAGCTTTTAAACACCGAGCTACGCTCTGGCCTCTGCAACCAGCCTGCCTTGAGGACTGAACAATACTGCATTCCCAGGGGAAAGCTGGGGAGCATCCCTGCTCATGCCACCACTTCACAGGAGGATCTTTCTGCTCCCTTGCCATTCATCTGCAGTTGGAGGAATCCCTGTCTTCTGTGAAGTCCTGAAAACATTCCTGAGCCCTGACGCAGCCCAGAGGCACACCTAAGGAAGAGAGATGCGATTTTAGAAGAAAAGCCACATAGCTGTGGCTTCCACTGCTGTGATGAGATCTTGTGCTCAGGCCTCCACCATGTTATGGCCGGGCACTAAAGGGTGTGACAGGGTAGGAAAACCACGTGAAGGGACTAGAAGCTTCTCTTGCTGGTGGCAAGGACAAACTCTCACAGCGAGAATCGATCGCTGCAGAGCCCCAGAGCAAGAGCTCACTGCTTGTCCCTTCAGCCATGAGCAAACTGAGCCCAACTGCTCCCGGGTCCCTGCAGCGGCTCTGCTCTGAGCAACCCGGACTGCCAGTTTCACAGAGGCTCCTCAGATCTGCACAAGACTCGTGTCCACCTCAGTGCTGTCCCCAAAAAGCAACGGGGAGGCCAAGGCAGGGGGTCACACTGACCCTCAGCACTGAGCACGCCAGACAAAGCAGCAGCCACGGCCCCAGTTGTTTCAGGCTCCTGCCTAGAGCAGGACCTCGGAAGATAGCTCACCCAGAAACACGGACCCACTGTGGGATGTTCACTGCCAAGCAGGGAAAAGGAAGGGGAAGGGCATGGGTAGACCCTGCACAGCCCCGAGCCCTCCATCTACCCCCTCCCAGCCAGCCCTGCAGGGAGGCACAGCAGCAGGAGCTAC